GGAAATGAAATTATAATAGGAATGTGGTCACTATCACAGGAAGAAGTATGAATATGCCATGAGAGCGAGGATGCTAAATCAGGCGTAGATATAGAGAGATCAGGCGCACTTAATCCTTCACCTGGACCTGTGAGACGCGTAGGAGCGCCATTATTCAAAATACAGAGATTTTGAGAGTACAGTATATCTAACATTAAGTCTCCAAAACTATTACATGAAGAGCTTCCCCATGATTGATGATGACAGTTAAAATCGCCTAATGCTAAAAAAGGTTTTGGTAAAACTGAAAATAAATTGTTGACTTCATTAAATAAAGCCGTTGAAGGATGTGGAATGTAAATAGATACGAAACATATACTATTTACAATTATTGCTATAGCACCTATGCCATCACTTAAAGTGGGTAATTGTAAGAGTTGGTAAGTTAGAGAATTTTTAATGATTATGGTGACACCGCCATACCCATCAGATCTGTCTTTTCTAAGGGTGGAATAACCAGTTACTTTGAAAGGATAGCCAGGTTTCAGCCATGTTTCTGAAAGACAAAGCATAAAGGGATGAAGTGCATTTATTAAATAAAAAATGTCAGATTTTTTACTGGAGGCACTTCTATAGTTCCACTGTAGAATTACTGGGTTCATATTGAGGACGAATTAAAACAGAATTTTCAATAACATTGGCAACGTAGAACGGTTCAAATTTAGTCTGAATCACATTTGATTTAGTCAAGAAATTTACAATGGCTATAATAATGTCCGAGATAGATGTCTGTGAACAAGTATCAGAAGAGGCTTTAAGTGCTGAACCATTAGGGAAAGCTAAAGGTATGTTGTAATCCTTTGCAAATGAATCATGTGCAGCACGATCATACCCACCCGCTACTTTAGGAGGGGACCGTGGTTGAACAAACACTGTTTTTTTATAAGATTTATTAGTTGAATGAGCCTCTGCTGAAACTGTGTAGTTATATTTCAGCCTACTATCATTAGATTTTTGTTGAGAGGAGCGAACTGCATCAGCAAAAGATCTTGAAATTGGAGGGTGATGTTTTGATGCTTCGGAATATGATATACTACTTTGTGCCATGGATACTTTAATTTCTTTTTGACGGGCAAATTCAGGACAGGATTTGCTATTTGCAAAATGGAATCCAGAACATAGGCAACAAGCCGCATAATCTACATGTACTGAGCAGGTTTCAGCAGTATGGTCTTCACATTTTAGGCAACGGGATTTGGATCTACACTGCATTTTGGTATGTCCATAACGGCAACAACGGTAACATTGTATTGTAGGATATATATACAGTTCAACAGATAAAGCAGTATAGCACATATAAATGCGCTTTGGTGAAACTTGTCCATCAAAGGTGAAAATTACAGTTTCCGAGTTATTAAATATCGCAGTCCCACTTACAATAGTTTACCGCTTGATACGTCTAACTTTAATAATTTTACCGCACCCAATAGGCACTGAAACATTTTCAAGAACTTCATCATCTGTCCAATCGGCAGGGACACCACGCACTACTCCCATACGAGTCACATTGAAAATAGGAATAAAAGCTTTAAATTTGTGACTGGCAAGTCTGGGGTCATCAACAAAGTTATTCGCATCAGCAACACTAGAGAAAGCCAAACTAAGCCTGTTGCGACCTATTCTTTTCAAACTTCCGTTTACAATGTTTTTAAAAGAGTTCTTTTTTAAAAAGTTTCCAAACTGCACAGGATGGAGCATAACATGATCATCAGCTGTACTTTGTTCTTTCTGGACATGTACTACGTATGGGGCTAAATCAGTCACTTCATACTTCCTACCACCCTGCGGCCTTGAATTTGAAACAGTATCACCAACATTTGTTACAACATTGTTAGTACTATTATTAGCACCAACAATGCTAGCATTGGCATCAGCAACAATGGGTAATTTAAATTTCTTGGAACATTCTTCATCAGATTCAGAACATTGACAATAGTGTAGAGACTGGTTTGCCATCTCTTTTACTACGTTTTTTATTACAATGACGGCAGATTTTCCGGGGTTTAACTCTTTTACGGTCAGGAATAGGAAGGCTGCCTTCGGTGTCCATTGATGAGTCGTCAATAACAACATTATAGGCTACTGGAGGCCCAGAGCCTCCTCCTGGGTCGTCAGGAGGATCGACCCCCATAATAAAGAAAGACTCACTTATTGTACATACCACTAAAATCTATTCTATTACCGACTTCAAAAAAGGAGGAGGTTCTCAATTCGACTGCATGTTTTTTTTTTACTTTTTTTGTATGTACATGCGTATATTACGCTATAACTCCGTCATTTGTGAACCGATTTTGATGATTCTTTTTTTTATTGGAAAGAGGGTACCACCGTAATGGTCCCATTTAATGTTGAAGAAAATCATCCACCTCTAAGGGTGTCTGTTCACGCACGAAGACTAATTTTTATAAGTAGTACCTAAATTTTATTATAAGGAGCAATTATTTTAATGGCTGATTTTGTTATTCTCCAATTCAAGGCGTTTTTCTCTCTCAATATGTACGTACATACTTTAAGCAGTGAGAACCGGTTTTTAATATCTCCCGTGTTAAATCCCGTACATGGTCCTAGACCGAAGCCGGGTTTTGTCTACCTGGATTCAAGGACATACAACCTTCAAATCAAGATAATAAGTGAACTTAACTGCTAGTCGTCAAGGTCGTGGATGTAGGCTGGTGAAGATGTACTTAGCTATTTTTATATGTTTTACGACAAAGACTATCCACATTGAACTGATTGGTGACTGACAAGCAAGAATTATTTATCACCATTGCGCAGATTCATTTCGCGCAGGGGGAAACCCAAAACCATATTTTCCGACAGTGGTCTATCATTTGTTGGCGCTTACAACGACCTTTCAACATTTTTAAAAGTAATTGTGATTAGCTTTCATCTGAGGTCGCCAATGAAGAAATAAATTTTTGTTTTATTCCAGCTTATTCGCCACATTTCGGAGGTCTATGGGAGGCTGGTGTAAAGTCGACCAAATATCATTTACAAAGAGTGTTGGGCAATTGTAACTTAACTTTTGAAGAGCTTTATACAACACTTGTCCAAATTAGCATGTAATAACGCATACATTCAACATAACCCCGCACCAGGGAAACTCTGTATCACGGGTGCCATGGACACTCACATAGACAACCACAAATTACACCTAAACTCACGAGAGAAATAAATATAGGCCATACAAAGCTTTCTCCCGGCCCGGGAATGGAACCTGGGATCTCTGCGTGGCAGTCCGGCCTGGTAACCGTTCGGCCACGGAGGCAATTGAAGCAATCCTCAATTCACGACCACTTACCCCTCTCTCGAGCGATCCAGAAGACCTAATGCCATTGATACCAGGACATTTCATCATCGGTAGACTGCTCACTTCCTTGCCAAGACAGGATTATCAAGATGTGTCAAACAATCGCTTCAATCGTTTTCAGCAAACTCAAAAACTTCGACAACATTTTTGGTGCAGATGGAGCAAAGAATATGTTTCAGAGCCTCAAGTGAGGACTAAATGGAGTACTTGTAAAGACGCATTGAAGATGAATGCTTTAGCTGTTCTAAAGGAGGACAATCTACCACCGTTAAAATGGAAATTGGGTCGAGCTACAACTCGTGTTTCCTGGCACTGATGGCGTCAATAGAGTAGCGGATATCAAAACTTTTTTAGAATTCAAATTTTGATATAAAAATCTAATTGAATTTGAAGAAAATTCTAAAATTTTTTAAGGAATTGTAATATCCTTTTCAAAAATTTGTTCACTTCCTGAAGTAAGTATCACTGGTTGAAAGGCAAGTTTTCAACGGCTGGCGGAATGTTCACGCATGAAGACTTGTGTTTATAAATAGCGCCCAAATTTTATAAGGAGCAATTATTTTAATGGTTGATTTTGCTAAGTTCCAATTTAAGGGTTTTTCTCGCAATATATTATAAGCAGTGAGCACCGATTTTTATTATCTCCTATGTCAAGTCCCGTACAGTGGCGAACTAGGGGATGAATCCGGGTTTGTGCACTTTCCGATTACCGATAACCGATTTCAATAAAACTTGGCAAATAGATGTCATTCCACGAACTTTTGAAGACGGTTTTTTTATTAGACCCTGTACTGAGAATATTAATAATTGTATGCACGTATTAATACTACGAAGCATTTACAAGAGTATTATTTTCCTTTTCATTATTTTCCTTGAATATATTTACATAGTTTGATTTAAACTTAAGTCATAGTTCCCTGATCCTATCTTTTATATAATTTTCTTGGTTTAGGGCGCGTTCAAATTAGACACTGTTAGCCGCGCTGCAGCGCGCGGCGGTCGCGCTGCAACCGCGCGGCGGCCGCCAAGTTTTTAGTGATGTTTCCATCTTTCGACTCAGGTACACGATGGATTCTGATGAAGAAACGTTACTTTCACTTATTTTGTTAAAACTGAATAAAAAAATAATTAAAAAGAATACCCTGAACGTATTAATATAATCGACATTGTCGATCGACAATGAGAATTATAGACGTTTTCGAGTTGTTTGTGAGTGCTTATTGAGAATGTGGCGTTAATTTCTAAATCCAAGATGTTTGCCAAGAATTTTCAAAAATTTATTATTTGTAATCCTTATGGGAATGGCATTTATATCTGAATACATGATGGCTAACACGACTTGGCGGGCACGATTTCTCAGATAATGGCAAGTTGGGTATCGTTTTCGAGGTATTTGGGGATGCTTAATACGAATATGGCACTCATTTCTAAATCCAAGATGGCGGGCACGATTTTTCAAAAAAAACGCAATATGATTATCCTTTTATAAAATTTGGTCGCGCTTCAGCAGCGCGATTAATTTGAACGCGCCCTAATTTACCCTTTTTTATCTACTTTTTTTACAGTCGCATAAATGCAAACCGCGAAGTGCCAGAAACAAATAAAGAAAGAGAATTGATAAACATTTACATAAAATTCAAGGGCACTGCCCTATAATTACAAAAAAATAAGGAGAAAAATTTGCTAGATTACGACGAAGGTTTGTTTCTATTGTGAAAAGTACATTACACAGCAATTTTCTAGTGGTTCGAGCCAGTGCACTTTTATAGTGTAACTCCCAACCATCTAACCTAAAAATCTCAGATCTTTGAAATTTTTCATAATGTTTTAACATATTAGATGTTACAATATCGGCACTGGCACAAAAAATATTGGAAATGAGCAAAGGCGAAACACTAAATGACGTCGAGCAAGAACATGAAGAGGTGGATCCGATTAACGACATCATAGATTACTTAGTGCGCTGCGCCAAGATATCTTTTAAAAACGCGCATGTTGATGAGAATGAAGTAAAAACATCAGATAAAATCCGTATTGCTTGTGAACTATACAATCGTTCGCCCACGGATTTTCTAATGCAATTTGGAAAATACTTGGCTCCATATCATTTACAGTATTTTGCTTATTTAGAACCTAAAGATCAAGAAAAGGAAAGATATCAGGAATGTATCACTCACCTGAAAAGGTACCATTCTGATGACATCAGACACAAGAGAGTCAGAAACAGGCGCTACAAAGCTTTGCAAAAATTCCAAGAAGAAACTGATCACTTTAGTGAAAAGCAAATGATGTATAGAAATCCTCTGCTGTATGAGCAACTTGTGGGACAGTACCTTACTGAAGAAGAAATAAAGGAAAGAGATGGAGTGGACAGGGAGAACTTAACATTTCTGAATTTGATTTTAGACACTGTTGATAGAAACGAGATGAGCGAAATAAAAAATGAACAAATGCTTGAAGAAGATGAAGACAGCAATAGTTTACAAGAAATGCCTAGTAAAGAAGTGGGCTTAAATAGTCAACAAAAGAAATGTGAGACTAAACATTGGGGTGAGTTACCAGGTTTTACTCCTAAGGTTCGAAAACAGACTTTGATTAGTGCCCCAGAAAGGAGATTACTCCGTGAAGAATTTCTTCAAGAAATGTACAGTAGTTTCATGGAAGGAAGGGATACAGAAATCGATTATGATAGTATCGACAATGATGAGCAATATGATGACTTACAACAAGCATCTCAAGACGCTGAAGATCAATACTTTGACTCTGAGACAAATGAAGTAGAAAACCTTGAAGACCATATGAAGCTTGTAGAAGAGTATGGAAGAAAGAAGTCTACTGGCAACATTTCTGTAGCTGAAGATCCTTTGGATGAATTTATGAGACACATTGCAATAAAGCAACATAGCAGCTGCTAATAATTTACCTAGTATTTACCAAGCCTCAGAAACAAAATAAACCCAAAAATCAGAAATGACACTTAATTTTTTAATTTATTTTTTATATATTAACATGGACAAAACACGATGGTGGGAGGTGTCCTATGGGTCAGCGTTGACCGGCGGATGGGAAGATATAACTCATTACATTTATTATATTATATTATTACATATTTTGTGCTATAACAATTTGAAATAAGGTTTAAATTTCAATGCTCTGAGCCCAATCTCGGAGTATCACAGCGCATTTTTCTTTGTAGTATTGAAGGAAGAGTACGCTAAGATACCGCGGCGGGAGGTGTCGGTATGCGCCGGAATCCGAAGTCTGTTTGAATGCGCCGAGGACTTGGAAGAGACAATTCAAAGCTAAGCGTGCAGTGGCATGTCGGCGGATGCTGCGGCATTTAAGCGTACTTCTACTAGATTGTACTAATAACTAAATAAATATAATAGTCTATCGCATTGACTTACAAATAAATGGGCGACGGGTCTAATACAAAAACTACGAAAAAAAGTCCCAAGTCAACCTATTTAAACGTAGTGACATGTAAAGGAATATGAAAAAGCTAAAACGTTGAATTTAAATTGCAATGTCATCGCAGTACTGTCTAATTTTGCTTGCTTCGCTGTCAGACGAACAAATGAAGACTAAAGCGTGAATGACGCTCTGTATACGATTTTAACGCCCTATAAGTTCGGACACTTTTTAGCGCGGACCCGACGTCCATATAATTGTAAGTCAATGGTCTATCGTCTGAAATCCGACATTCTAAGTCGCTCCCTGTTTTCAGAACTGGATTGCGTAAATATCTTCTAACACGGTCCTCAACGTGTATATCAACTGTATTGTATACATTTATTAGTAAATATAAGTTTATTTAAGTATATAATATACATATATATGTGTATAGTCCGTCTTTTTTGATGACGTAAAATGATATTTGCGGGGTTGACAGTTTTCGTAAAATTTTAAATACTCATGTAGTTGTTGCCGACAGTTTTATCGATGAATTGTTAAAGACCTCAAATAACCTATGCCCAGCAGTTGGGCGAATAATGGGCCGATGATGATATTATAGTATAACCAGTTCGGTACTTATTTGCATATGCAAGCGTGACCAACATTCCGTCGATAGTTGATTGAATATTTGTCGACTGCAATCACTAACTGCTTGTAGGCGGGCAACACTTTAGCGCAAAGAACTGTCATTTTACTCCATCTTCAAAAAGACAGACTGTAGGTATAATTTAGCTTTATTTATTATTTGTTAAGTTGAAATGCATTTTTTTATTTACACAATCTATTTGTATTTACAGCTTGACACACGACGTCTCCCGCACCGATTAGCTTTCCTCTACCTCAAAGGTTGTCTGGAAGAGATCGATCTTAGCGATAAGACCGCCTTTGTTCACATTAGTTTTAAGTGGTTTATGTACTGTTGTTCTTGTGTGTGAGCAATAAAATGTATATCTAGTTATCTATATGATAAAGAATGCTAAATTTCCAATCCAGTTTTCCTGCTCCAAACAAACGCCAGCCGTTTTGTTACACGCATTACATCATATTATTACATAAAATTGCATTAATCAAATAAGCAGGAAGTTGCATAACTTAATTAGCTGTCTTCTACACTCTATATTGTCATTAGGCATCTAATATACGATATGTATACAGACTGCGTTTCACAGTATCATTGTTGTTGTGCTGGTATCCTTAAAAGTCCGGTTGATACGTGGTATGCATGCCGTAATGGAACGAAATTTCACATAACCGCATAACTATCCTCGGAATCATGATGCATACCTATTCTTACCTAAATATGGTTCTATGAAATTAATTTTATATATTTTTAAAAGAGGTCGTCCTCCGCCACAAACAAAAAGCAAATACATTTTTTAAAGTATATGTAGGTACCCTTTTGAACCAGTTTGATTTGTACACTCACAAGAGCATTATCGGCGTTCAGTCAAAACCAGAATTAAATTAATGTCAGCAAAGCCGTCGTGTCTGGCGGAGGCGAACGGGTTCTACCTTAGAGGATGGAAAAAAATAAAAGAATAGTCTAAGGGTTCTACATACATTTCGCAGCTGGTTAGTTGTTATCTGCCGTTGACAGAGACAACACGGGTCACAATCAGAAATTAATGAATAATATGGATTCTGTTCGGCCCCCGTCTCGTTACATTTACATACAATAGGTACCTAGTTACATGCTAAAGTAGTAGTCCGGAAAATTTAAAAGACAAAATGTAATTTAAAAAATCTACATGTAGGTAAAACTGAAAAGAATGTACATGTAGGTCTTATTTTTCCATCCTCTAAGATGTACATAGATAGCAAAAGTAGAACGTAAGTCTACGGCGTAAAAAATAAATTAAAATTTCTCAATATGCGAGCTTCAAAAATGCATAGGTACTAATAATGAAATGAGAAATTAATGATGACCTACAAAGTAGACGTTATGTACTTGGTACATATCACACTCGAAAACAAAATGGTGACATGTCTCCAAAAATTACGTTTTTTTTTTCTTTCACAGAGCTTCTTAAAGATTTCCCATAAATGTCCAGTTCTATTTGGATTATAATGAAATTCCCGCGAAAAGATGTCAGAAATATGGAAGGAAACTTAAAATATTGAAGAAAACTGCTAATTTAAAACTATGTGTATAGACATTGTTTAGATTTATAACGTAGTGTCTTTTGTCTTCATAAAATTCATATTCACGATACAATTTCGCAGACCAATTTCACATAAACATTAATTTCTAATGATAAGAGAGCCTGGCAGTGGCAAAACTGAATTATGTTAATCGGACTTAATTAATAAATACTCAGTTACAAGTCAATTCCTTACATTCCTACAAGGAAACGGCCGCGCTTATCCTACTACAATGCTCCGGGGTGGCCCATACAGGGTGAAATACCTCGCAGAACAGCAGACCCAGGGGGATGCTGAGATTCCTGGAGGAGCTCGAGCTACACCCACTTATACGCAAAATAGGCGCTAGACTAGTTGCGGATACCAGCACGTCGCACTATACCATACCATATCATTACTCCTACAAATTGCCGAAAGTTTAGTATTACTTCATATCACGTCTTCGAATCGATTGCTAAAAGTATGCTATGTTTGTCGAAAGGCATTTCGTATTCTACTCCCGAATTATTGTTTTATTTCATATGCTACGCAATCTGGGACAAATCCTTTTCACTTTCCCGTGAAACGACTACAGCAATAAGCCTGACAGATTAATACTGCACTAACTCGGAGTTTTTTTCAGAACGCTCTTTCTCGACTTCCTATAATGTCTGAAATCTGTCTGCTTATCTTTGTGGTCACAGGAAACTTACTTGATCGACTGGGATAGAAAGCATCATTGTGTGGTAAAATTTAACCGCGGATTGTTTACACATAGGGCGCACTATAAGTTTCCGGAACTGGCCACTTACATAAACAATATTTAAAAAGTAATTACAACATTTGTAAATGGAACTCTTTGGCTGTAGAATTTTAAAATATTCCTTTATTTTTTTCCATCCTCTAACTGTAGAATACAGTTTGTTTCGTCAACTGTCACTTGTTTTTACATTGTGGCGTTATTTAGAAATTGGTTGTCTACATCACCATGGATTTAACTCGTGAAAATATCGTAGTATGATTTTCTACGACTTTAAGTGTAATGTAACAGCTCAGCGTAGCTTCGCTCGACTTCATACTGCTTTTGGCGATAAAGCACCATCCAAGACGACTATTTTTAGCTAGATGCAAAATTCAAACGCGGTCGTGTGAATCTCAGTGACGAATTTTGTGATGGTCGCACGTCCACTGCTGTGAATAACAAAAACATCGATGCTGTGCGCCGTATGATCAAAACAGACAGGCATGTGACATACTATGAGATTCGGGCATCTTTAGGCATGAGTCAAATACAATCAATACTACACAAACATTTGGGTGTGAAAAAGCTGTGCTCTCAGTGGATCCCGCGCAATTTTACTGAGGCTCAAAAAACAGATTGTTCAGATGTTTCAGAGATTGTCACGGAGGAGTGGCATAAATGTTTTCCAAATTGAAATTCATTCGTATGATGAAATTCATTCGTATGAAAAAGTGCATTAACGCTAACGGAGAATATTTTGAGAAACAATAAATTCATTTTTGACCATTTATAGTATTTTTTCTTATTCATTCCGGAAACTACAATGCGCCTCACGTATGTCGAATTTGAATCGAATTGATTAGTCCTATTTTATACGTGAAAGTGAATCAAACGTTTTACATTTTTAAAAATATTACATAGGATAATAACTAAACTTTTAATAAGTAATTAATTATTTCATACGTAATTATAATTAATGACTTTCGAGACAGAAACTTAAAATACTTAATTTGGCGATTATATTCCTTCTTAAGGCAAACATAAAAAATTTCTAATTTTTTTCTGAAATATACATGACTTTTTAGAATATAATATAGCTTTTTTATTTTAAAAAAATACCTCAGAAGTTTGTGGAATTACATCTATTTGCCAAGTTTTATTGAAATCAGTTACCGGAAAGTGCGCCAAACCGGATTCATCCCCAAGTTTGCCACCCTTAGAGGTGGAATATTTTCGTCAAATTTAAACGGGACCAATACTGAGGTACCCTCTTTCCAGCAAATAAAAATCATCAAAATCGGTTCACAAATGCTGGAGTAATCGCGTAACATACTTACAAAAAAATTTGTCGAATTGAGAACCTCCTTTTTTGAAATCGGTTAAAAATCATGTTCTAAATATAATATATTTTTTGTTTTCACTACGATTTAGTTACGTATCGTGTGAGTTAATTAATTTATAATAATGTCAGGCAGCCAGGTTAGATAGGTAGTCATCATTAGTCAAATATATTTTGTGAAGTATTTTTTAGAGTCATCTTCTTAATGAAGTGCGCCTTATCACCCTCTAGCAAGTATTACGCCACCATACGTGTGTTGGGATGTAGCATGCTCTGCGGAAAAGCTTAAACATGAGAGTGACAGTCGACGTCCTTTATATGGCTACCAAATTTCCCTTAGAGGATGGGAAAAAATAAAGGAAATTCCCCAAGCTCTCTCAAAAGCCGTAAAAGTTTCCTGCGCACCACAAAAGCTAGTGACCATCCAAGTGTCACTAGGTGTATACTGTGGAAACGGAAAAACCCCCCACCACCTGGTTTCATCATACCTCAAGAGCAACTACCACCAGGTTGCGATCTGCGGTGGCCCGTGTGGTTGACCATAAATCGATTTCGTACTCAGGTAGGACGCTGCACGATGCTAACTCAATGTGACTGCGGTGCCCCAACGCAGTCCATGCAGCACTTAGTGTTGTGCCTCTTGTGTAATAATGTACCTAATACCTGTAGGAGGGAACATCTCTACTCGGCTATGGACAGCGCAGTCAAGTCAAGGTAGCGACGTACTATTCAGGGTATATACGTATATAAGTATCGGAAAAGAAGAAACAACAGTCTTAACCACGATTTTACGAAAAATCAGTGAAGTCTCTAGTTGCGTTCATATTTTATGTGTTAACATTTTATTTCATTTTGTATTTATTGAGGAATGACCAACAGTTGTGCTACACTTGAAGACTTCTTACTTTAAAAAAAATATATTTGAAGACATACAAAAATAATAATTATCGTATTATCTGAAATAATTTCATGCATCATCGTATAGGTAATGTGTGCAATAATTAATAGTTGTAATGTGGCCAATGACATTTTCATGCTGTATGCATGTATTATATTCTATTATCATTATACTCATTGGAAGTTAGCGCTGTTATTTTGAATATACCCAAGTCACAACAAATTAAGACGTAACAAAATATAGTTGAATAAATTGAATGTTATGCCATAAGTCTAAATATTCATCTAATCTATTCAGTTCGAGCCTAAATCGAAGAGACCGCGTTTATCTTTTCTATTCGTAAATCGTATTTTTACAATTTCATAACATTGCTCTTTGACCAATGACAAATATTTTAATGATTGACTGTTACAAACGAACTGGTAGAAATGTAGAGATCGTAATAAATAGCGGCGTCTTAGCATAGCTACTACACAAGGGCACAGTGATTGATAAGTCTGCGGCGCGTGCGCGGATGTGCGGTGCGGTATGGGGCGGCCGGCATGCACGCATCTTGACTGGTCAGCAGGACAGGCAGACGCGGCACAGACACGGCGCGCGATACGCGTTCCGCATCGGTGCACGCTGCGCAGTGATATATCGTGATAGTGCTTTTGAACCTAGGCATCACAAAGCGATGGCTTGGGTAAGTTCCCTGTTAAATTTCCCCATAATTGTGATGGATCTTCAGTCTAGTAATTTTAGATGTTTGTGTACAAGTAGGAAATAAATCGGTAATGTTAATTTCTACGTGATGGAAGTCGAAGAATATCAAAAATTGAAGTTTGTAATTTCGTCTTATTTTTACATATAGCCGTAATACATTTATATAGTTATATTGATACCGTCAAGAAAAATAAAACTTTTGGTTTGATATAATGTATGTACTTCAGTGAATTTTGTAGAATAAACGTGACAAAGTAAAAGTTTTTATCTTACTAGTAATTAAAGAAATTAATTGCCAGCTAATTGTAAAATATTCTATTTCACTGAGGCGTTATTAAAATAAATATTATGATGAACATAATTAATTGTGTAAATTACTTGAAGAATACAGATTTGTCATACAAATGACATCAACGAATGCGGAACCTCGAAGGTACATTATAATGGTTGAGTTTATAACATGTTTTAAATTTAATGCATATCAATCATAAAGAGAAAAAAGGGATAAAAATGATTATTATTGGTACCTTTCCCACACATATTCATTTTCTAAGTTGGTAGGAAAGTCCCTATTGAGGTAAACAGGTACTTACTTATATTTAAAATGTTTGCGATTCCTGCCTGTTGGGTTAGATTGAATAAAGCAAAATGTAGGGTACTTAATTAGTAACTATATAAATAGAAAGTCAGTTACTGAGTAATTACAAGTGAAACATGTATTATATCTAAGTACTCGTTACTTATATAAAAGTGTACGGAACAAACACAAAAGTTTTATCAAACAAGTTGTATCATTTCGGTAATGTAGTTGCGTCTAACATAGTCAAGAGCGGTGGTGTCAAATGCAGGCAAACTGTAGACATGTTGTTTTATTGTGGATAGTGGGGGACAACCAGACAGTGGACAGCAATGCCTGCGGCAGCGGGACGGCCATATCGCGTGGGCCAATCCTCAGCTCGCTCATAAACCACACATGGGTCATCGACACACTGTGTGAAAGTGTTAATATTTCTTCATTTACACCCACACTTTACTGGAAACTACTATACCTGACTTGGGTGATGGAGTCTATAATGTCATTGTCGCAAGTGATTAATAACAGTAGCAATCAATTTATTTCAGAAATTTGATTACACTTCGACGACATGACTGACGAGACAATGTAGACTTATGTAGTCGACGACCAATAAGTATTGTTGAAAATTTTATAACAGCATACTAGTCTGTGTCATCAAACTAGTCGCCTATAATATCAATATTAATATGAGATCAATTGGACCGACCGAAGCTCAAAAGGCAAAGAAACGATAGAGCCAGTTACATTTGACACTTATTGTAGCGGGCAGCAACAAGCGGCGTGGGCGGCGCAGAAACCGCCCGTGGCGCCACTCGGTCTGCGTGCGAGTCGTTCCCACGCCTCGGCGTGCAACCCGCGCCCGCCGCGCGCCCCTCGCTCCTATCAACATGAACTTTTATAAATAAATGCCCAAAAAACTTTCACTGCCAAATAAATACGAGTTTTTCGGAAGTTCGTGAATAATTCATACGTGCAAAAAACCAGTATCCGAAGATAAATCTAAGATTGAGCCGTACCAACTCCGACGTTGGCTTTACTGCTTTACACGTGCTGTTTATTTACTTATACGTGTTGTATATTTGCCCTAGGCACCGCTAAAGTTGACCAGTGACAGAGTCGAATGATAACTGTAGCTTTTTGTACCTAACTACGTAAAACTAGCAGTATAACTAAACAACTTTCATAATGCAACTTACTTGCTTACGGTTCTGCGTGCCGAGCGGTACATACCATTACATTTCTAAACAGTCTATTTAAAACTTATTTTCGTTTATTTCTTCAGAAAAAACCGATGAAACGCTTTCATGTCATTCATGTAAACCGATTGCCATAACTCCAAGTTGCTTTACATTTAAGTAAGTTGCCTAGTTAAAGAAATATATCATCGTAATAGACGCTTTAAATACAAAGCGTAGTGTAGAGTAGGTAGATCCGTATCTTTTAAGAAATGTTTGGTGGATGGTAGGTACACAAGGTAAGACATTCCGGTAATAAACGTGAATCTGTGAAGCGGTGTTTCTTTGTGCTTCCCTGAATTATTAATACCCCACGGGTTTGTTCAGGATATAACGCGTAGCAGTCCTTCTCTATAAAGTTACCAAACCCGTTTCCTCCAATTCATTCTGCCTCCGTGGCCGAACGGTTACCATACCGGACTGCCACGCAGAGGTCCCCGGGTTCGATTCCCGGGCCGGGAGAAATATTTGTATGGCCTACATTTATTTCTCTCGTGAGTTTGGGTGTAATTTGTCGTTGTCTATGTGTGTGTCCATGGCACCCGCGACACAGGGTTTCCCTAGTGCGGGGCTATGTTGAGTGTGTGCGTTATTATTATTCAAGAAGGTATAAAATGTTGCAAAACAACATCAAGTAGAAGAACATGTATAAAAGTCAATATTAACGATTCTTTAACAGAGATTCCATTCAAATATGATATTTCTATGGTGACCGCAGGGTTGATTTCTCACCGAAAATTGAGCTCATCCGCAGCGTGCGGTTGTTGCTTGCAAAGTGTTATGGCTAATAGGTTTGTTATTGAAAAATAATAAAAAGTAAACACGTCTCAATTTCCTTTAAATTTTCATGTTCTTACTATTCATAAGAAAATTCAAAACATTATCGAAGAATAGATGCCTACTGAGTTCTTAAATTACATATAAGCAAATACCTGCTTCATTCATTGTTCAATTTTCATTTGAGTTCTAACAATTCGCTTACATTATCGAGGTATTTGCATTCGAGTGTCTCATTTTTGTACCCTGCTAGAGGATATAGAAGAAATATTAATGCAGAATAATTATACGTATGTCGAATGTACAATACGTTGGGCCGCTAAAGTAGGTATACCATCCATCAAATATTCTTTCTTGAAAATTGTACTTTGCGTCATTGACATACCTACATAGCGTTCAAATTTGGAGTTTAAAAAGAGGTATTTATTGATTTAACAAGTGACTGAGGACGTTTCACGAACGCGCGTTTACACGCCGCAGACGCGCTGTAAAGAATCGATTCAAACGCGCGCAGACATCGCGTTGCAAGCAAAGAAGCTTATATATACTCCACTGGAGTTTATACTTAGAATTCCATGTAGTCGCTTCATTTTAAAAACGAACTGAAACCAATAAACAAAACTAAAATCAAAACGCGCGATATAGACGCGCGTTTAAGACGCGTACACGCGCATCGTCGGCGCGTATAAAATACGTCGTGAGAATAGGCTCTAAATCAGAAAAATAAGATTTTCAACAATTTATTTTAGAAGATATAATTATGTTGTTGCGATGCCAATTGCGACAAGTCGAATATCCATAAGTAGGTACTTTTCATCGTTCGTTACTTTCATTGACTTTTTAGTTAGCCGTTCTTTTACGTAGAGCTTTATACCTATAGACAAAGATAGAAAGTCTCGGTGGTAAATGCAAGTACTAGGTAACAAACTAAGGACATACGGCCTCCTTAATAGGCCTTTGTTTAAAATACAGACAGTGGCAAGCAATATCAAATTACGCACTATTGTCTATGTGCTCACATTGTAGTGTTTCACAAGCGACCATTTTCACTGGTGGCCACGGCACGTGGTCGACGTATTAATTTCTTCAGTTAGTAGAACTAGAGGATTGGGTTTACCACAATGACTGATAAAATTAGAAATGGAAAGTTGGCACGTCCGGACAAATGTTTGCCGAACGTGCCGTTGCTATGATATGCCGGGACCATTCGGCTTGCACCTGCTGCATCTTCTGCATGCCGTACACTCGATCCGAGGCGTTTATATTAAACATGTATAGGGCTAATAACCCATCGTGGATGTCTAAATCATATTGTGTAACGAATACGAGTACCAACAACCTAATATGGCAAAGGGATTTTTCTCAACGTTATGTGATATTCTGTTCAAATGTACGCCAACTTTACATTTAAAAAAAATTGTAGTCAGGACCCAGTCCCAGCCCTATAACTGGAACAGTAGATACACTTTAAAACGTGCTCGTAATACAATTATTCCATAATGACACAAACAGCGTGCAGCTAAAGTTTAACTGTGTTTTCTACGGATTTATGATCTATGTAGGCTGCTTAATCCATCGTTTATGATTGGATAACACGCCAAAAAGTTAGATAATTGTTAATATGAAGCAGTCGAAAGCGAAAACCAATAGGTCCAAAACCGGTATAAGTCGAGTTTGGTGCATTATCTTTTGTAAATACCGTATTATTTATAAGAGAGTGAAAGGACAACATAAAAAGGACAAATCAGATGCAAAACACCTTAGTCCGATTCCCGTCATGTAACAGTAGAGTTAGCGATTCGGCGCACGCGCCGCTTTCACTGCGGCATCCACCGTATCCTGGTGCTGATCTAGGTACCCACCCAGTGGCGTATTAGTGGAACTCACTGCGCGAACTTTAATCACGTATTCACAAATAGAGATATATAATCTTTCCCACATATACCTATAACATAACCGTTCCCACTCTATCTTCAATGTTCAATTATGTAAACGTGCATGTAAAATGGAGTTAACTGTACCAGTTAGTAAGAATTAAGTAGCATTTAAATTTGTGATTATTCGTATCACTTTCAAAATGTGTTATAAAAATTGCGATTCATATTAAAGTGCCAATTTTATATCACCGTAATATGAATTTTTCATAAAAAGTTTCGCAAATCCGTCAGCGGTCATTATCAAAAGTGGACTTGACGATTTATTTTTTTCGATAAAGCATACTTTTAGAAATACGACGGGGCGGCGCGGCTTGCAGCTTATACGACTACCTGTTAGATTTCATGCGAAACTACATAATTTGCTAAAATAAAATACAGGCGAGAGTGAAAAGCAAAATAATCCAGCATAAAAACATTAGTAAAATAATAGAAAATCACATTTCAATAAGTTTTTTCAAGACAACACGATCACTACCTTCTTTACTATTTAAGGAAACAGCTATATACAGTCGAACTATAGTTCCTCCAACAACCTCCTTCTCACTTCCTCAAACCCATCTATTGTAAGGTCTTTAATGGGCCTCCATGTACAACGCCACAATTGTCTTCCCTTCAGAAGAATCTATGACCAATCCTCGATATACCCATATTCAATTTCCTTTGTTCTTACGTTTTATGATGTTTTAAATAAAAAGATTGTGTTGCACAGGGTGGTACACATGTTCGTAACAAGTTCTTATCCGTCATACATGTCATATTAAAAGGTGAATTTAGCGTAGCCAATAAAAGCAGCAAGTTTCTTTGTTCCAAGTACTTCGTAGACCTGTCCCACAGTAATAAATTCCTAACTTTACACCCGGATTGGTATTTAGCACGTTCTCTATATCTGCCCTTATACAACAACGCACAAGTCACTCAAGTCGCAAAGGGACAATAATGCGAATACACAACAATACGGACAGGAATATTCAATTCACATTTGAATGGAAATGGCTAGTCGACAGGCTGGACTTTCAAGCTTTTCTACCGCAATGTAATACGTAGGTGCCTAATCTTAATTTAGCTCACAACAAATTAAGAAGATTTGTACAGTTGCAACAGCAATTTCAAGAGGCACACTTCTGTTCAATTTATCAGTAAGTAGCTATAGAGTTGTCACAGATACCTAAGTGTACAAAGTTAATAACGATGGTTAATAACAACTGCACGAAAACATCTGCATTTTTCCATAACGAGCGATTGAGGACAGAATTTCGCGGTGGCTACATAAATAAGGAGGCTGGTTAAATATTAAATTAGCTTGACTCTCTTCCCGCGAGCAGACAGGCATTTTAACGAGCTGCACTCGCGCAGAAACCCGCCCAAAAATCTGACAATCCACACCAACTACTGGTTTGTATGAAAAACGCCAGACACCGCGGATAGGTTAACATGTACTTATTTTACTACTCTATAGACAACTTAGACTTAATTGGTTTGTGATTACATAATGCTGTGAAAAAAATTTTACTTGGTAGCTGACCAACTCAATTTATTAAAAATAAACTTATAATAAATTTAAATAAATATAAAATATAACTTATATAATAAATTTACAGCAAATACAAAACTGGTATCTTTATGACCAATCACACATAAATAAAAAACTACTTGAGAACGGAATCTATTTATAACTTGATAAACCGACGATATATCAGTAATTATATTTGATGTATGGGAGCCTACATATCATAAAACGATATCTATTGTTTACAGAAGCAAATCAGCACCGCCCTGGTAACGTTGACCTGGCTGCTCGCATCAGTCAACCCTGAGCCTGGGTTCATCAATGCTGAATCTCTAAAAAACATCGCTAATGTCACTTGTAAGTGCAAATCTATTTACGAAGTGTGTCCGATGGAAAACAAAATTATACAAGAAGTCCTAGTTTCACTTAAATTATTTTCAGATGCGGGAGAAAAGTCTGTACCGCCCGGGTTAGCGTCTAAATTTTCACCACGTATGGATTTTGAGCAATGGAAGCCATTAACTGGACGAGGCGATCCCCTCCGTAACGACCCCACTTATGATTACGAACCCCCTGTGCTGGAACGTGTTCACTATTGGGCTGACGACACGCGACTCGAGCGAGAGCATTATCCCGAGAGGAAGTCTGAAATCCTGATGCTTGGCGTGTCTTCCCGTAAGCCCAGTGTTGGTTCACGACCACAACCACCGCCATCGCCTCCACGTAGGCATCATCGACCTCCGCCCCCTAGGTACGAAGACTACTCATACAAACTTAGCGATCACTATCATATGACAATACTTGTGCCTCCACCGCTACCGCCTCCGGGTCATAAACCTTCGCTCTATATTTTAGAGGATAATTTGCCACCGCAGCCAATTTCACATATAAAAATTACCGATCCTCCCAAATTGGTGAAACCTACAACTGTGGCCCCAGAACATTTTACCAAGTCATATTCTCTGCAAGAAGCTAATTTGATTTATCAATCTTCAACTACGAGCCAAAGTTGGATTTACAATTCCAATCAAACAAATGCGTTGCCTAATAGAGCTGTAAGCAGCGACTACGCTGGATGGGGACCAACGACCCCCTTGGATGATACTGAAATCATAAATGACGCTCATAACCTGATATCTAACGACGCTTATTCATTTTATAAACCTATGTTATCAGAAGCGCCACCTCCGCCACGCGTGACGAAAAATCCATTGCTTCTACCCATATTTATACCTACCGCTCTACCACCTTTACAGGCGCCTTCAACTACGACCAGCATAACACAACAAACTTGGCCTACAGAGCCTACCACCACCACTTCTCCGACATTTACAGTAGATTATAATGAACAAACCACAACTGACAAAGATTTTACCACGATGATGTTCCAGTCTAATACAGTTGCTAATTCACAAACAAAACCGGGTGAAACTGTTTTGGATATGCTAACTCCCATGATGACCATGCCGATGGTAGAATCAGAACGTTTTGAAGATAGTCTCTACGCACACGCTTCAGAAAACTATCATGTTTTTAAAGAAAATAAGCCCGAAGATATTGCCCAACTAGAAACAATGCAGACTATGCTGCCACCACCGTTAGTTAAACAAAGGGAAAATACTACACCACCTAAAGAACTTTTCCATGTTAATCCTCAAAAGCATACGTTCGCTCATAAAAAGCCATCAATGCACACACATGACCCTTATTTACATATGCGTCACACTACACCAATGCCAACTATAGCATCATCAGTCGATTCCGGTGAAAATACAAAATCTACCACGGAAGTACCGACTGTGTCAACATACCTAATAATTCAAGGACACTCTAAAGTTAAGACTTATAGTTCTAAGATCAAATCTGATAATAATGATACTATCAATAACGAAATCCCAAAGCCAAATGAAACCAATGAAGTAAAGCATTTGCACCCTATCAAAGAAAAATATTTACAAAAACCTGATAAGAGCGATCGTATTAGACGCAGCAAAGCTCAGAATTTGAAGTCTCTAATCGACGATGGTCGCGGATCGATAGAAATTCAGGAAACTGATATCGGAATCAAGTACGATATAAGTGACGGCAGCGACGTGCCAGTGGAGATTTACAGAAAAGGAATAGTGGATAACGATGAATTTAACTACTCTAAAAATAAAGGGAAAAATGAAAAGCGTACGAAAAGACAGGCAAGCTTGAGCGATTTATTACCGGACGAGGATACAGTGGAGGAGTTCGTATACAATTTCTTGAAGAGGAAAAGGAACGAGACCGGGTTTACAGGTCTGATAGCGAAAGTCGTAACGGGCAAAGAGGGTGCCGTGCTTGATGAACTCGACGACGATGAGAATGACGAGGACGATGAAGACGAAGACGACAACGAATACAGATGAATCACCTTCAAATGTCGTTGGGGACATTAGAGTAAATTGTGTAGCAGATTACCAAATACCGGTTTTTATTTTGGATTCTCGAAGTTACCGGAAATGCGCCCAAGTTGGAAAACTACAATTTTGTGCTTTAAAAACGGTGTTTAATGTCGATCATGTTTATTGATTACAGACAACTATGTACTTAAATGTAGCCTAATTATATTCAACCATATTGGGGAAAATTGTATTTACTTGCCTGTAATGTTTTCAGAGTTACAGTGTATAATACTAAGACTAGATCATGCTCTAGGGGTCAAACCAATATCGTAATTTTTTGACTAGAGTTATACGTTTAGACAATTAAGTATTAGTTAATTTATTGTTCATTTAATTATTTAAAATAAAATATTAATGTTTTGAATGGTTTTGAGTTTGGCTTATCTTAGCTCAGTTATAAAAGGTATTGTCAACGAAAATGTTGAACTGTTTATAATTAAATACATAATAATTTCTTTCTATGTGCCCTTATACCGCTGGCTTCGTATAGCTGCTTTAAAAGCAGTCTAAGGTAACAAAACTAATGCAAGTATTTCCGTCTGTTTGAACGTTTGTTCAATGGGATATCTGTTTTCCAATTCTAGTAGATATCTTTATTTCGTCGAAGTGAAGGGTGTGCAATGGAAAAATTTTCAACGATGCGCAGCGCCGGAGAGTAGACACAATTTATGGCGCAGGAATCCATTATTCTAATTAAGTATGTAGGTTTAGATAGACACTGTATCAACAAAAAAGAGGCGTACGGCAGCGGACGCGGCCCACTGACACACACATTTCTTACCGTCCTTTTCGTAGAAATAGACACAGGCACCTTAGTAAAGTGAAAGTTGTTTATAAACCGATAAGTAACATTTATTGCGATCCACTACACAGCTTACAGGGTAACATCTATGATCAAGTGTTGGCGTGAATCCTCGACACCGCGATGCTTCCAAACAAATTATATTGGAAATAAATAAAATTGCTAGAAAATGCAAATGCTTAAATTATATATATAAGCAAGCGCTCCTAGACTCCAACACAACAGGTAAAATTCTTTCGGTTTGAAATTTGTAGGCGTAGTGTTGCACCAGTCCGATTGGCAAAGACATACTTTGTATTCTGCATCGACGAGCCTAAAAAAAGAGATTCCTGAAAATGGATTCGTACGATATATGTGCTTACACATCTTTATAATAAAATAATTATGTACAGGTTTATTTGTAAAACATTAACAACCTCACAGGGTTATATTATTAATATCATAAACAACAAATTTTGCACCATGACTTTTTAGAAAACATAATAACTTTTCGAGTTCTTAGGTTTTCGCGATTGTTACACATAGGAAATGAACTTTTTCTGTCAACCGTGACCATGGGACCTGTAAAGGGCCCGAAACGTCGGTTTGTTTGAAAAAACAAATATACGCGATTTAAATCCGGAAAAATAGTTTCATTTCCATAATAACTTTATCAAATATAAACTTTTAAGATTTTGTTGTACTATCTGACACTTTTTAGATGCTTACTTAGTTGTACGATAGTAAGTTCAAACGCGCAAACGTCCTCTCTGTCGACCCCCATCCCAGCTCTTGCGTTTTGCATCGGACTAGTATTTTTGTGCTACCGCACAGTGTTATCATCGTTTAGACGGGGTAATAAAATGTAATGAATTATTAAATGTCATGAAACAAAAGTTGTTTATGTTAGTAATATAGTGCTTTTGCAAATAGCCCTGTGTACACGCTATGTACCTTCTCCGCATGCAGGTCATCGATCTGGTGGGTTCGGACATGGCTTTGGGCAAGGGATCCGCCTTGTTCGACAAGTAGCACCCGCGCTGCACTATCCACGCGTGCCGCGAACGAGCACGCCACGATCGCACGAAACACATTGGGTTCTCTGGAATGCATTAAATTATAATGTGCATATAAGGCAAAATAAGTGTTTGATAGAAGTGGTGCCTATCTATCAAGTAACATGACAAAGAAGTGTTGGCGTGATGCAGCTAGCTTTCAACACTATTATAACAACAATAATGTGCCAAACAATAACACGAATTGCCTGGTATCAAACTAGGTAATTCCTTGTTCACCGAGTGCCAGAGCAATGGAATTCACTTTGAAGCACTTCCCAGAACACCCAAACCAGAACCAATTTTGAAAAAATCATCTTCCTTATTTGTCCCACCGGGAATTGAACCCAAGACTCGGGACATACGATGCAAAATCAAACCGTTGCGCCATCGAAGTCGTCAAAATAAGTAGGTACCAACCTATGTAGAATCAATAAATACTTAGCCTCAATTTACATTGCGGCGGAATGGAATGGATCGGAAGCGTCAATTTCGTCTCGCTGCATGAGAATGCGCGCGCTTCGCTGGAATGCTCGAGCATTCGCGAGCTTTCTCGCGACTGTGCTTTGAGGCTGTAGTATTTCGTAGATGTTTGACGTCACACTGCGCCTGCCTTCGCGCCTGTTCCCACGGATTCGCAGGCGTCGCCGACAGCAGCTGCGGGATTTTCGCCAACTCGCGCGCATTCTCGAGCATGCGCGAGAATTACGCAGAAGACGCACGTCGTGATTTTTGGCTCGTATCTAGTTTGTACGTTACACAACTGATATCATAAAGTTCATTACGCTATGTCCAATATCATTTCAAAAATTCGTTTCCATTCCGTCCCGTCGCAATATAAATTGAGCCTTAATGTTATCTTGGAATACGGCACTTCCATATTACGCCCAATTTGTATACAATTTTATAACACTACCTAATTATACACAGTAAGAGATATGTATTTACGTAATAATATTAAATATAAGTTTCTCTGGTAAACACAAAGTTCTGAAATACGATAAACTCAGTACGGGTTGTAGAGACCTCCGGTGCAATTTTTTAGGTATTTGCGGCTACTGTTGAAGGGCAGGAAAGGCGGGGCGAATTCCCCGGCACATTGGCTCCATGAATGGTGGGTGGATGAGCAGTTGAAGCACAGCAACCCCAGTGTAGAGTTAAAACAACATGCCAGGACCACCCACAACAGTACTTTCGACATTTGGGCACATTCTGCGACGCCTTAATATATTCTACTATCCCAAATAATTATTGTCAGTTTTTCCACAGTATTTCAAACTTTATTTGAATTTTAGATCTCAAGAAGTAAATGTACAAATAGGTCTAGTCTACAATGTTGTGACAGTGACGATCTCTGAAGACGACGCTATGTCACTTGTCACCATATCAAGGTTTTAGAAACTCATATGACGGGCGCCTCTTTTTGTCAAGTAGAGGAAAAAAGTAGGTATCCGTGACCTACTATAAAAATCTTCGTCGAAAAACCTTTAGTCCGAAAAATGTACTAAAAAAACTTGAATCTTAAAATTCATACTTACCATCACCACCACCTCCCATGCAGGGTATCGTTAACCAGCACCGCAATCTTGTTATTTGTTTCTGACTTGGCTCTGATAAGCCTTTGAAGGTGACGAGGTCATTTCCGTGGGTCTTGTAAGAAAAGGTGCCATTATAGCACAACAGAGCGTCGCTTTTGCATGCGATACACAGCAGCAATAAAACAGCGTTTATGGACAACATGTCACAGTGACTTCGGCGTGACCTACTCGACGGCCCAATAAGGTCATTAAACACAAAACTTTCGCCTAACGTAAAACATACATTGTTAGCCGTTTCAAGTAACACAATGTTAGATTATTTTTCTACCCATACATAACAAAACCTTTACATAGGACTGTCTTATTTAACAATGAAAACTATTAAAAATGTTTCAATAATGTATTTTGTAGTTTTCATAAACTGATAACTATCCACTATCGGTGAGGTAACAACTCTTGTAGAACCATTTCTTCAAGTTATAATTCTAATTCACAATCTAACTGATAATTTGGGGTGCATCCAAAACATCGTTAATTATTGGATAATTATTATATTCGAAGTTATAAAATGCTAATAACTATAATGCCATAGCGGAAAGTCTGGTATGTTGGAGGCAGTATGTGTTGAATGCACCCAGCGCATTTTCAAGCGCCGCCGCACAAACTCAGGCGCACTTCACTTCACGACATAAGCAACGATATCTACATTGTAAAATCACAAAGTTCAGCAATTCAAGTTACTAGTGGTTGCACACTTGGACCCAAAATAAAATACTAAACATAAATATCTCAGCAGACAATTTAAAATGTCATGAAGTCGAGTAACAAAACATGTATTGAAAGAGGTTGTATATATGGCCATATTTGCACTTTTAAGGCACGCAGTGTGCCGTGAGAGCTTTCTAACCTTTACGAATACTATACAATGTGCTTGGAGACCATATTAATTTATCACCACGTTCCATTTCACTAAGTACATACAAGAGCATTTCGCCCACATACATTTCAACATTGGATTTATTAGTGTAACCAGCGCCGTTAACAAATAAATGTCTACCACCTACGAAGAGGACAGATAATAAAATATTATCAATATCACAATGTCAACATTATTTCGACAGTGACCTAATTGTATAGCTGTTACATACTGAGCGATTAAAGTTTTGAGTAGATAGTTATGTAGTGAATAAACAATTGCAAGGATTAGACGTATATCTAGTGTACATAATTTCCCACTAAAAAGATTTTGCATGTTTGAACATTAAGCAAGATAAAATGGCAGTGTTCAAAACATACTATGAAATATAATAAAAAGTAAATGCAATTATTTAGTGTTTTATGAGAATTGAAAAGTTGCAAAAAAAGTGGGTTAGTGGTAGTTAAATAAGACTAGAGGCATTATGATTTTGCTATTCAAAAATATTTTGCTGTCCCCGGCATTGTCATTAAATTTTCGACTATATATTTTTTTTGTTATTTTGAAATGTACATAACAACAATCACTTCGTTCAATATGTATAAATGCAAAAATACAATTATGATTCTATACTAAGAATTTTTACAAGAATCAGTGAAGCCACAACTTCAATATGAAGTAGATTCCTACACAAATGAATTACTTAATGTGCACATAATTGAACAAACATTTTACATTTGATAAAATAGTGACACAGTTTTCAGGAAGATTTAGAATACTACCAAATTGAATGAGAATTATTTACAACAGATACAATTTGGACAAATGTTCCCACTGGTACTTTACATGTTTCCTACCATAAGTAAACATAAACAACAGAGAATGTCTCATTATACAATCTAATATGTATGTGTGTGATGTATCAGGACTGAGATTTATGTACATGATGCACCTAGTAATGGCAAAAAAGTGGTATGCAGTAAGCTGGCTTCTAACGTAAACTAACGTTAAACTTCGTCGCTACGCGATTGGAGTCGGCGGCGGCTAGGTACAATTCATCCACAACGAGAATAGTATCTGGGGTAAAATATCCAAAAATGTCAACTAAAGTAAGACACCTAAAACTATAAAATAACAACAAACACATTGAACAAACAATTACTGAATTTTGAAAGTAGTGTATAATAATTGTATAAAATAAAATCCTAGATGGTGTGGACATGTTAACATGTTGCCAGGTGTTATTCTCGTTGCGTGGAGGGCGGGCGAGTAAGGCGCCCCGGGGTCGTGCCCACGGGCTTTCTAGCTGACAGCCCAGTCTAGCCCCCAGCGCTCGGACACCTTGAGTTGCGCCGCCGCCGCGTCCTTCAGCGAGAACAAGTGAGTCATTTCCAGCTCTGTCTTTGCGAGCATGATTGCCTTCTCGAACAGCTCTAACGAACGCCTTAGATTACCCCTGGAAATTATGAAACAATAATACATATAATAACTGTGTTATTAACATTTTATTTGCAAATGTTAAATTTAAGCATGTCTAATTGGTTGATTAATAATTCAACTGAATCATATATTATTTATTTATAATACATAACCTTGATTGTGGTTGAGAAATAAAATAAGATTCTAAAGATAAGAAAATCCTGCATCAAAAATTCTTAACGCTATATTGATATCAATAGGTGTAACATAAAATGATAAGAGTATCTGCCTAATGATAATGCAGTGTACTCAAAGCCAATAATAAAAATCAAAAGATGAACTAAACTTATAGTTTAGGCAGTAACTGTTTTAAATTAAGATTGGCACAGAGCCATTGACTGTAGCACAGATTGACTGTAGTTCTGAAGTGGTCAAGTTCAAATGGGTGACTGCTCAATCAAATAGTAATACATAACATTTGTCACTATTAACTAGATCAAATGTTGGACAACAGCAGACAATACCTGAAAAGAAATAGCAATGTCTCACCTTTGTACTTCAATAGTGCCTAGTGTTTCATAGGCAAAGTCACATTTGTCATCCATTTCAATGGCTTTGTTTATCAATTTCACAGCTTTATCAAAGTCTGTGCTCTTTTGTAGTTGAACCAAACCTTTGTGTACATATAATGTAGCATTGTTGGGGTCCACAGACAAGGCTTGATTAAAAAGAGACTCGGCACGGCCCCACTCTTGTTGGTCTGACAGAACTTGCGCATACAGAATGTATGCTTCAGGACACCTAGGGAACCGTTCTAATGCACCCTCAAAGTCAGCTCGAACTTGAGCCAGTGCTCCTACATTTTTATTGATCTGAGCATGTCTATAATCAGCATAGCATTTTTGAATGTAAGCAATGGAGAAGTCAGGATTCAATTTTACAGCTTTTGCAAACTCAGCAGTGGCTTCATCCATACGTTCCAACAACAAATACACTTGCCCACGGTGATGGTAGATGTCAGAATTATTGGGATCCAACTGAGCAGCACGGGCAAAGTCCTCCAAACAGCGCTCTGTGTTTTCTAGTTGTGTGAAAAGAGAGGCACGTTTAATTAAAGCATTGACTTTGACTTTAGTAGAAGCATCACTTTCAATAACTTTTCCAAGATCTTCCTGTGCTTCTTCATGTCTTCCTAGGAGTAGGTAGAATGTAGCACGAAGAAGCAGAGCTTCATTTTTGTATTTGCCATTAGCATTAAGTTCCTCAGTGCAAGCATCAACAATTGTATCATAGTCCTGAGCATCAAGTGCCTGTTTTGCTTTAGCAAAGCCACCTGAAGCACTGTCATCCAGTTGTATCTTAGAGATGGGGTCTTCTGAGAATGCAGAGAAATATGTTCTGATGAAATGCTTAGATGGCATCACTGGGCGGCGCTTGGCGAGTGCTTCCCGCGCGTGTTGCCTGCCGAGTGCTTTTAGAATACGATCAGCATTGACTAGGGAGCTTTGAACCTGAAATCTTTCAAGGATGCAGGCTGAGGTGACATCTTCAAGTGCCAACACAAGGTCACCGCTTTTTTCGGCAGCGCGTGACCTGCGTAGGAAAGCTTTGACATATTTCTCATTCAATTTCAGAGCGAAAGTACAATCTTCCTTTACTTGCTCCCACATCTCACGCTTCTCGTAGCAGGCGGAACGATTTTGGTAGAATGTGGCAAGATCAACGGGACGGTCAGGGGGGCAGGCTTCGATTGCCTCGTTGTACAGAGATATTGCTTTATCGTAGTCGCCTGCATGGAAGGCTCTATTTCCGGCTCCCTTTAATTTCATGGCGCGGTCGATCGCACTCTCAGCTTTTGTATTGTTTTCCTCATTGTCCAGAGATATGGTTGTCTTCGCTTTTAATTCCGCGACTTTTTTCTTCTCGGGATCTTCTAATCTATTTCTCAGATAAAGATAACCTAAACCGATGGCCAAGGGTGCACCGAGAAGTATGGCTAGCTGCCATTTGGGAAAAGGAGTGCTGCCCGTTGATGCCATGTCCTTCGAGGGTGTGTATTATGAAATGTGTACACAGCATAAACGATGCACCATTTATTTCACCTCAAAAAGATAGGTAAAATTACTATGTTATATTATTTTATGCCGCTTCATCCATTGAAAACTCACTTTCGGCAAAAGTCACACAATCCATAGACAAAATTTTGACATTTCGTACTTTTATTGCCAAAGCAAAGACAGACATTTTGAATGGATGGAAAAATAAATTGTGAGCATCACGTGAACATAGATCATATTTACGACTCCGTAGGTTAATTCTTTTCCGAAAAATCCCGAAAAATTGGAAGATTTTGAATACTATAATTTCGAAGGCTCATATTATGTTCTACGTTTAGAATTATCTTTTGAAGTTTTATTTAGCGTGAATTATAAAATAAACTTGTTCTAAAAGCTATAAGTACACAAATACAAGATTAAAATGATTTCACAACAGCGAAAAAAACCTTTTCATTAGAGATGAAACGGAAATCCGGTAACTATCCGGTTTTTTATTATCCAGCCGAATACCGAATAGTAGACCAATATCCGACTGTATACAGGATGTTTAAGACTGAGAAAAAATCGTATTCAGTACGCCAAATAAACTGATTTATTGATTAAAGTTAATAGTAATAGGATAAACAGCAACTACAAGGTCGTTGACAATGTGTTTATTACTTGCAACTGAAAAAATATCAAGTTAGATAACGTTATATGTTTAGCTAGTACTCAAATTTCAATGAAGGCAAATTATGGTGGATGAAGACCCGTTTTTCTGCATTAAGGCTCAACTCACACTGGCGAAGATTCGAAGCGTCACGAAGCGTCATTTTTTTCATATTCATCTCTATTTTCCCATTATTAAGGTACAAATTTGTGTCATGCAAATATAAAAGTCGCGTGCAGGTGCGCGTCGGCACGTGTCGCCGCACTTCGCCGCGCGTTACTTGGGCGCAATGAGGCGTCAGACGCCGACCACACTGTGATCCGGGCGCACTAAGGCTCAATTCATACTGGCGCAGAGTCGAAGCGTCGCGTCGCGTCCTGTTTTTCAACTACAACGCCTGGCGACGCGCGACGTCGCACGCATTGATAAGAAAAAAAAATGTCATGCCATTTAACAAATACTGACACAATGTTCATTGGGCTACTCTGTGAAACGGCTCCGGTAAGAAATTGAACTCCCGCGGCGTGCTGCGGGCGCGTATCAATCCTTCCTACCTAAAGAGTACTACTGAATACTATTGAATAATAATAACAATGAATAAATAAATCATTTATTTGGCATCCAAGGCCCATTTGTTATTACATACAATTTTAACTTAGGTACGCCTTACTAAAAGAACAATTCAATTTTCCTTAAATACTTTGATCCTAGCTTAGGACAGATAAAATTGAGTTCTAACATGAATGTGTAGGATGAAGCTCGCCGACTAAGGAACATTTCTCGGTACAGATCCCTAGCACGACTAACAACATAATTTGCGTACTATACCCTAACATAGCACCGCATCATGTCCCAATATTTCTCATGTGTGTTGTGATATGGCATCGTTACGAACGTTATTGCACTACAGTGCAATGACGTTCTGCTGTGTAGACCGACGACGAACGACGTAGAACGACGTTCGCTGTGTAGTCTATGTAGATCAGTGTACTGATCTACATAGGCTACACAGCGAATACACCGACATACCACGCAAAATTAATACGCGATGACGTCCCGTCTAACACAAGAGCGCAAGCGAACTAACCAACCGGGCTGTAGCGGGTGGCCGGCTGCAAAACCATGAGCAGAGGCCGGTAAGGGTTTGATTTGACCATGCAAGGCACTCGCTACGTTTTCGATGTGTATCTCGCGCAGAGTATTACAAAATGTTAGAAGCAGTATTTTCCTCGGAGAAAAATATTTGTAGGCAGTGTTTTTTTTACATATTCGGTATTGGTATCTGCTACTCAGTCTTTAAATATTTATCTCGTTCAACCTGTCACCCTGTATATGGTTATCTTAAACCGTCCCGTGAATTTATTTTTTTATTTATTACGCAATTTGAATACGAGGCAGTATGATCTTTAATCCTGACTTGTCACTTTTAGATGATAGAAAGAAAATTCAAGAAAAAAATTACTCTCAGTCTTGGCTGTATGGCGCATTAGTGCCTTTGCATTTCCAATAGAAAAAACAATAAGAAGCAGGAAAGAAAAGTTTGTGATTAGACGGGTCGTATTCCAGAACTCTGATGGTCGTATTCCAGAACTCTACTCAATGCTCAAGTTAGGACTTGAGTATGATTTCAAGCAGAGGAAATCAGACTCAAGTCCTTGCCATTAGGGTCGTATTTCCAGTGCTTAAAATCATACTCAAGTCCTGACTTGAGCATTGAGTAGAGTTCTGGAATACGACCCTAATCAATGCTCAAGTCAGGACCACAAAGTACTTTGCAAGTCAGGACTTGAGTATGATTTCAAGCACTGGAAATACGACCCTAATGGCAAGCACTTGAGTATAATTTCAAGCATTAGGGGTCGTTTAGAACTCTACTCAATGCTCAAGTTAGCAATTGAGTATGGTTTAAAGCACTCGAAATCATACTCAAGTCCCTGCCAATGCCATTAGGGTCGTATTTCCAGTGCTTGTCATACTCAGATCCTGACTTGAGCATTGAGTAGAGTTCTGGAATACGACCCTAAAAAAGATACTCGTCCTGACTTGAATATTGAGTAGAGTTCTGGAATACGACCCTTCATTGGTGCCAGATTAGGCGATTTTTGGCTACTTAGGCTACTTCGAGGGGTCGAGCGGGGATTAAAAAAGTGAACGGCGAATCGACGATATTTAGGCTTTTTTTGAAAAAGGAAAAGGCTATTTTAGGGTAATAGTCTGGGGAATTACAAACGTGATTGGGGATTTTGTGGTGAATGGAGTTACAAAACAAAAAAGTTGAGTATTTCTACGTACGAGGAATTAGGGGCATAAGAGAATTTGTATTCCCACAGCAAACAAATTTGCTTTTTTTGATTATTAGGCATTTTATGGCTTGGGCGAATACTAATTTCGCAGTCTGGCAACACGGTTCCAAATCCAAATGTTGTCGTAGACCAGTGATTCCCAAAGTGGTCCAGGTGGACCCCCAGGGGTCCACGGGAGACTTGCTGGGGGTCTACGTAGGCGTGAACAAAAAATGGGGGTCCATAAGATGTTAATGGGGGTCCACGAAAAATTATCTGCTTTTGATAGTAAAGAGCAAAAATGTAAGCATAGTTTTATAAGGGCCTACCTACATTGTTTTAAGTACATAACTAAGCAGATAATATTTTAATAAGGCAAGCGACTTTTACTTGTCCAAACTTGCGTATTCGATATTACGTACAATTTCGTGTACGTACATGTACAGACTTGCAAAGCGCTCTCCGCCCGACAATGCTTAATGCTTGTTCAGACATGAACTTGATCACCACTATAAATACTTGATGCCAAAGGCAAACTCATTCATTTGTTTCCGGAATTTCGAAAAAAAGGTTTGAGATAATTTATATCAGTGTTTGTTAGTGCCGGAGAAAAGTAAGTAAATACCTTTTTTTTTGTTATAGTACTTATGTATTTTGTTTACGTGTACTAGTCGGTTGATCACAACTGCTTGTATAGATAGGTAACTTAGGAACTTACAGATATTTTAATTGTCCTCTTTCGATTTGAAGACAAACACAGCACGTTTTATTCAATTGTTTTTTCGCGAGAGAAGCACTGCCTCTCTAAAAAGGCCGAATAAGCAATAGCAATTAATTTTTCAATTTTTCTTGCAAATAACTACTAATTTTATAAAACAGTATAAAAAAGTCACGTTTTAACAATGAAGGCGCAGACAAAAAATACGAAAATACATCATTGATTTGATGAAATGTTAGTTATCGTTTTTATGGACAATTTTGGGATTTCGACTTTTATTTTTTCCTACACAAATATGATCAGTATTCGATACTGAGTACACCCATTTTTATTTGTACTATTAAAAATTAGTGGTAATTTAGGTACCTACTTTAAAATTGATACCGTTTTGTGAAAACGTCTGTATTTGTCTTAGCGGTTATTAGTTGGCCCCTTAACAAGCCGTAATTCTATTTCTGCGTGCTGACAAAGGCTGCGGTGTGATACCTATATTCAGAAAAAAACTTGGTTACTAAAACATTCTTTTTTACAGGTAAGGTAACTGACACGAAACATGGCTACAGCAAAGAAAAAATGTCGACAATATAGTGTCGATTATTTGAAATATGGTTTTGTTCCATCAGAGGCAGACAAACAATTGCCCATGTGCCTATTATACAACAAAGTTTTGAGCAATGACTCTATGAAACCATCAAAGCTCGAAGATCATCTAAAAAGGTGTCATACTGACAAAACAGGTAAAGATTTAAAATATTTTCAAACATTGAAGGAAAAATATGAAAAGAGACCCACCATGCACAGTATGTTCGCTTCAACATCTCAAAGTAACGATGACGGCTTGCGGGCATCTTACAATATCTCATTACTTATAGCAAAATCTGGAAAACCGCTCACTATCGGAGAACAATTAATTTTACCCGCTGTTGAAGAGGTTTTAAAAACTGTTTAGCACAAATCTCCATTTGACGTACTAAAAAGAATTCCATTAAGTAACAATACTGTTCAAAGACGCATTGATGAAATGAGCTCTGATATCGAAAGTTTTTTGTGCGATCATCTGCAAAAAACTCATTTTTCTATACAACTGGACGAGTCAACGTTACCCGGTAATGAAGCATTATTATTGGCATATGTCCGATTTATTATGGAGGAAGAAATTCACGAAGAATTGCTATTTGCCAGAACTTTAGAGACTGACACTAAAGGCGAATCAATATTTAATGTTCTGAGTAATTTTTTTACGGAAAAATCGATTTCATTTACAAACATTATTTCAGTGGCAACAGACGGAGCTCCTGCAATGGTCGGGCGATATCGTGGGTTTATAAGTCATCTCAAAAGAATTATACCAGGACTTACAGCTATTCATTGCGTAATCCACCGACAACATCTTGTGGCAAAGCATTTAAGTGACAGGTTGAACCGATCTCTTCATTTTGTAATAAAAGCTGTCAACAAAATCAGAAGCAATGCATTGAATACGCGTTTATTTGCTCAATTGTGCGATGAAAATGATGAAGACTTCCAACGACTGCTCTTACATACTGAAGTACGCTGGTTGTCGAAAGGCGCATGCTTAACGAGATTTTACTCTGTTTTCGATTCCGTATTAGAGTTCCTAGAAAGTAGAGATCCAGATTTAAAAGAAAACTTGATCAAATTCAAAGCAGACATTGCGTATTTGACAGATTTGTTTAAAAAATTTAATGATATCAACTTGCAGTTACAAGGGGATAGCCTGAATTTAATAAAAACAAAGGGGATAATTTCGGCTTTTCTTGGGAAATTGAAATTTATGAAGCAAAACATTAGTCGGCGCGAATTCTCTCAATTTCCAAACTTGTCGCAGGTAGAATGTATTGATGAGGATATCCATACCTACAGTCAACATTTAAGTGCCCTGCATGATGACTTTAAAACCAGGTTTGAAGATATGCTGACGATGGATATACCACCATGGATCATAAATCCATTTGAATTTGATGAAACGGAAGTGGCCAATGTTGTATTACAAGAGGAGCTGCTCGAGATAAGCACCAATGAGGAGCTGAAGGTGAAATTTAGAAAAGGCTACCAAACATTTTGGCTGCAAGCAGAAATACCCGAAAAATATCCTGGACTGTGGGAAATCGCAAAGAAATTTTTAATAGCTTTTCCCTCGTCATACCTTGTCGAAAGGAGTTTTAGTGCCGTTACAAACCTCTTAACAAAAAAAAGGAGCAAATTAAACATCACAGAGCGGGGGGATTTGCGATTATTGCTCACAAAAATAAAGCCAAACATTGATCGTTTGCTGACACTTCGTCAAATACATCCTTCCCATTAATTAAAATTATAACCTGAACCTTACCTTATTATTATTTTTTTCTTGTAATTCTATTCTTTTAATAAATAAAATGTTATAAAATGTACCATTTTTCGTTTTTATTTTACCTATCGGAATATAGGGACAGAACTCAAAAAGACACAATTTTTATTTTTTGGCGACTTTAAGAATGTGGTAGAAATGTAGCAGCAGGGGGTCCACCGACACCAGTAAAATTTTGAAAGTGGTCCACGAGAAAAATAAGTTTGGGAACTACTGTCGTAGACAGGCTAGACAGTATTGTGAGTAGTGTTCTGTGGTATAGAGTCTCTATACTCTGTCTATGCCAAATGTCGATTTGACGTTCAATTTAGGTTTTATAGGTTAATGCTTTAGCAACTAATAGTCTGTGATAGGTTATATTATGGAAATGCATTAGGTTATTGGTTAATTATCAGTTATTTATTCTAGAATCTGTAGTCATTGAATATTTAATTAGCAAAGAACATAAATTAGAATAAAGAAGAATCTATACAGAAAATCAGAGGACCAAATACATTTTTTTTACATTTGACTCTTAATATTATTATTATAATATTTTTGAATACTTTCGTTTCCAGATAAACAAAATAATTAGCCAGTTTCTCTCAAGTATACATTGTAGTTTATACTGAAAAACAGAACATTGTTGAGAAAAATGTTTTCAGCCAAGTTAAGAAAACTAGTGAGTACCACATTTATTTTGCAATGAAATCTGCCCCAACACTATTTAAATAATATATTATTTTTTTCTTAATGCTTTTCAGATACATATCAACACTATTTTAATAAATAGAGTTACCAGCCAGGCAGCACCGATCACTACTTTGCAATGCCAACAGAAGAGATTTAAAAGTGATTTATATGAACCTGATTACCTAATTGTATGTGTACCAAATCATAGTTACCTGATATTTCTTCCAATAGACTGTTAGTTTATGATAATGTAATATTGTATACATGCATATACTTCATGCTATTTGCCATCAGAAAAAGCTGAGAACACAGCCTTTCACTTGCTACAATCCTAACACATCTTTTACCTCATCAACATCCAATGCTTTTCTACACATTCACCAATAAAGCTGTCGACTTTCAGGGTACTATTCAACTGACCTTTCTATAACCTCCTAAGGCCCAACAAAATGTAAATACTACATGAAATGATTCAGACCCAGACTATATTATTCCTATGATCACATAAACGCCTACGGTACATTATAATGAAAATATCACATACGGATTCAGTGCTATGTATTCTACACATACCAATGTATCTACAAAAATATGTTCTTCATACAAAACGAGGGCTTAGACCTAAAGCATGTAATTATATTTAGTACATTCTAATGTACATTGGGCGTTTAGTGCTTTTCCCATTGTAGTTTGCTGGGTCTTAAGAGGACAAGACATCCTGAACTGTATACAATTAAATTATGATATTTATTTTGTTCAAATCCAAAATTCTGTTTAACCCAATACAAAGCTCTGCAACAAGCACATTAGACAGGTTCATAAGATCTGCTGACTTGCTCTGTAGTTCACTTGGAAAGAGCAGTGGCTCTGAGCACCAGATGCTGGTTCTAGTTCCGATAAATTGAAGAAATTTTTCTTTGTGTTGTAAAATGGTATGTAACGGGCTGTTACACCAAACCATACCATATTGTTGTACTGCAACTCAATGTCCAAGCGCCTATTTTGCGTGTAGTGGGTGCAGAATCCTACTCGTGCCACCCAAGCTCCTCCAAAAATCACAGCACCCTTGTGGGTTTTTGAAGACTTTGGGGAGCAACCTCAGCACTCCAAGTTATTTCGACGCCGGAGCATTACAGTATAATGTGCGCGGCGGTTTCCTCCCTTGTGTTGTATCTTTGTACCTATAATAAATTGAATGGTACTCAATTAAAGTAAATTAAGCAAAATTTATAACAACATACATACAAATTCATTGAAACACAAAAACAGTAGTAGACTAAGGCTCAATGTACACTAGAAATAAATACAAGTGCAAAAATATAAAAATAAAGTACTGAATATAACTATATACGCCAGTGTCTTGAATTGGTTACAGTAAAATAGAAAATACTATACACTAACTTTTCAACTTTGTTTCACAGGTGGGCAAATGCCTTTGAGAAGACTGTTTTTGTAGATGATATTTTTTTTTAATGTTCCTAAATAGTACAATTGCATACAAAATAAATAAGCTGATAGTAAATCATAATTAACAGAAAAAAAATATTCACCAGAGCAGGGACGAGGTCAGTTATGATAATACAAGAAATATAATATTGTTATTTTTACTAAGTAGCAGGTTGTCAAAATAAAGAATGGCTGTGTGTATTAACTATAATATTTTTAAAACATTTCTCGTCTCAAATTTGGTGAATAATATGGGTTGGGTTGGCTTGGGTTTGGTATACAAAAAATACTATTTCATACTTATGTACAGCCAACAGCACATCAAGCTACACATTGATGATTTTCGAACAAAAATGTGTAGTCTGATGCGCTGTTGTCCATACATTCACTATGTTAGCATTGTGATTAATTTATCATAACTTAACCATTTACTTACAGAGCATGGAGCCAGATGAGCCTGTGTACGACTGTCTGAACTTACAGCTGAAAGGCTATGACTTTGCTCTCTTAGAATCGGCGCAGAGTCAAATCCACAGATATGCTGATGTCATGGGCATACAAGTTGAAGAATGGTATATATTTTAGAATATTTATATAGAAAATGGTTGTACAGGGTCAAGAGCACGTCAAGTTTGACACTTAAGATTGAAATCCAACTCTATGCTGCTTACGATAAGAACGGTCCAAACGTTACGTGCTCTTGACTGTACAATCCCGCTCTTGTGGCGGAATTGTTTTGGTAGCATATATAAGGCTTTTAATCTCGCTGTATCTCCGCGTCACGAAAAATATATCGCGACATGGTGCGGTCTCGAAAAACGAGACTCGAGACTATTTCAAGAATTTGAAACCTACTTCCATACTTATGAGCGCATCAAAACATGATATTTTTTAAATTTAAAAAATATTATGAAAGTTATTTTTTCACTTTTATATAGTGGGCACAGGGTCAAGAACACGTCAAGCTTGACACTTAAGACTTATGTCCAACTCTGTGCCGCTTGCGATAAGAACGGTCCAAAGTACAAAATGTCAAGCTTGATGTGCTCTTGACTGTACGTAAGAAAAGTACGTTTAGCAAAGTTTTAGATAGAGACTCCACAGATTATACTAAGCTCTACTTAACGTGTAGCCAGCCGTAAGCATGTCCATGTAAGCGGAATAAAAATTGACTGTTATTTTAGTAGATGTTTAATACTTTTTAAATTTTGTGTCTTAAGTCTCAAACAGCGCCGGAGCTAGCCCATGTAGCGCTCGGGTACAATTAACACTCTGGCGCCCTCTAGTAGGCACGCCATCAAAATAGAATACTTACACTTATATCCCAGTGGATCGGAAATTCAACTATAAATGATGTTGAGAAACAATAGCCCATTTACTTGGCGCCTCCAAAGACATTGCGCCTGTGTGCGCCGCACAGCCTGCACCATAAGTAAAGCTGATCTCAAATGTTTCGATATTGTAGTGTCTGAAAATATCCGTCTCGAACACAGACATACTGGTCTCGAATCTCAAAAATCCTAAAAAATTATAGACTCGAAATTTTCGAGGCCGAGATTCCCGGTCCCGGAACGAAAGCCCTAATAGCATAACAACATATTTATGTCACATAAAAACTATTACGAACAGCATGTTGCGTGAAATATTATATTACGAACACTCATTCATTCATTATAATCATTGTTAATTGCGGTTAATCACTCGTTTATCGCGTATCTACAATTAACAATTAATCAATTTTCAATCTTTTCAATGGTTTTGATTAACAATTAACTATTAAAACTGACAATTATGATAAATTTATAGGGCATATGGATAAGTGAGTGGATGAGTGAGTGGGTGAGCGAGTGGGTGAGTAAGTAAGTGAGTGAGTGCGTGGGTGAGTGAGTGGGTGGGTGAGTGAGCGGGTGAGTGAGTGAGTGTGTGAATGAGTGGGTGGGATAGTAAGTGATTGGGTGAGTGCGTGTGTGAAAGGGTGAGAGCGTGAGTGGGTGTCTGGGTGAGTGTGTGGGTGATTGGGTGAGTGTGTGGGTAAGTGAGTGAGTGGTTGGTTGTGTGAGTGGGTGGGTGAGTGGGTGTGTGAGAGGGTGGGTGAGTCAGCGAATGAGTGAGTAGGTGAGTGAGTGATAGAGAGAGCATGTGAGTGAGTGGGAGAGTGTTGAGTGCGAGGGTGAGGGAGTGGGTGGTTGAATGAGTGGGCGAGTGAGTGGGTGCGTGAGTGGATGAGTGAGTGGGTGTGTGTGGGAGAGTGAGTGGGTGAGGGCTTGCGCGAGTGGGTGAGTGTGTGGGTGGGTAAGTGAGCGAGTGAGTGATTCAATTGAAATCAATTACAATTAAATCAATTGCAATTAAAATCAATTCAATTTAAATCAATTGCAATTGAAATTAATTGCAATTAAAATTAATTGCGACGTTAATATTGACTTTAATTGCAATTGATTTTAATTGCAATTGATTTCAATTGAATTGATTTTTTAGTTTGATTGATTTTCTGATTGAAATTTAATTAATTAACGCCCAACACTGATTATGAAATATTGGAGACAAATTATTAACATAACGCAATTTGGAGATAAAATAAAAAATAACGGAATTTTTGAGATAATACTATCTGTAATGTTAGTTGTCAAGATTTGAGATCTCTAGACTAACTGGAAGAAGAACTGATTGATATTTAAATGGTCGAGTATGGTCGAGAATATTTATCAAAACGTAGCTAAGAACCATCCCGTTTTCAAATAACAAAAACCACTTTGAGACCAGTCCATCTGTTTGGGAGCTACAATGCGACAGACATTTATAGACACAAAGGGTTCACACTTATAACTCCACTCGTTTTGCGCCGGGAGCTAAAAACACAGGGTTTTTCAATTTTCAATTCATAAGTCAAAGATGAAATGTTATTAACATGTTTTATATTTGGATGCAAGCACTTTAGCCATATGGCTAATCCATATGGGTTATGGGGTTGCTGGGACAGTCTAGACAGGTTATTTCTAAAATACTAAGAACCAAGACTGTAAAGAACAACCTTTGGTCGCTGACTTTTTACAAAAGATAATTTTATCAAAAACAAACTTGTGGGTACCGTTTGACTACATTAGGTCTGTTTTTGACAGTACGGTAGTAAGTTCAAACGTGCAAGTGTTCTACTTTTGATTTTTACCGCATTGAATTATCACATCACCGTTAGTAGAGCAGGGTTTCTTAACCTGTGGTCCACGGACTCCTAAGGGACCCGTGTAATGAATGCCGGGGGTCCGTGGCGAGCCTACCTAACATAATGGGACAGTAACTATCACACTTACTATTCATATGTAATTACTAACTAAAGTTTGATCGCAAACAATATCAGCTAGTAAAAACTAAACCTAGTTTTTTTTGTTCAGAAAGGGTCCGTGGGCTCTTTGACAATTTGAGAGGGGTCCGTGAAGTCATGAATGAAAAAAGAGTTGTTGTTTATGATGTTAGTGAACTTAGTCCTGAAAGGTTGTTAGTTTACTAATAACTCTGTAAAGTCGTTTAGTTCCCCATGAGAAACTGAGTCATGTGTCAATCCTGTCGCACATCTTTGGTATTTTACATTGCTCACTTTGCCATTATTATTCTTACTATGCAGTTGGGCGACGCCGGCACAAAAGTTAAAAGTCCAGAGATTCAAGCCCGGCGGGACAGCTGTTGATGCAGAATATCACCTCAACATTTATGAAAGAAATGTTCAGGTAAAATTACACTACATACTGATTTATTATCAAAGCCATTTTCAGCAAAAATGGCCAAAATTGTAACGGTCTTTCTAAATTAATCCATGACTTCGCAATTTAGTAACCTAAGTAAATATATATAACGACCTCCGCGGTCGCACACCGGTTTTCTCGGTGTCGCCATCTCTGAGGTAAATGTAGAAAAACTTTTGTATATTGTCTCGGGGTCTGGATGTTTCTGGTACCTAATGTTGGGTACCTTTCCGAACAATTTTCTGAAAAATTGGAGAATATTGGAAAAATATAATTCGAAGGCTCATAATTATATTCTTCGTTTAGAGATATCTTTTGAAGTTGTATTTAACGTGAATTATAAAATAAAATATAGCTAAAAGCAAGTTACAGAAAAACGAAATTTAAAATGACTGGGCAACAGCGAAAAAAGCTTTTAGCTCCATGGTTTTCGCTCAGTAGTTTCAACTTCAACGTCAAATGTGGAAAAATATCCGGAAAAATATTCATTTTTCAAAATTAAAATTTTTCCATGACCCAACACGTGGTACCATCGTTGTTTCCGTTTTCTATAACACATGCACTTAACTTTCGTTACTTACTTTGGGATCGGAGCAACGTATGTGATGTTGGATATTGGCTGCGTGGCCGAACGGTTATCATGCTGCACTGCCACGCAGAGGTCCCGGGTTCGATTCCCGGACCGGGAGAAATATTTGTATGGCCCAAATTTATTTCTCTCGTGAGCTTGGGTGTAATTTGTGGTTGTCTATGTGTGTGTCCTTGGTACCCGTGATACAGGGTTTCTCTAGTGCGAGGCCATAAAAAAATATAATAAAAACCACAACATTAGAAAGTTTTTTATTATGTTTTCTGTATACTAGTTGCAACAACTACCTACCATTGGGTACAATCCAACTGTTACTGTGACTTGGATTTGGTTCTGTTGTACGCTACAAACCTAGTAAAAGAAGTGAAATTTACTCTGAGCTTTTTGGCGAGTTTAGTGGGGCTTGCCGCGAATGTAATTCCATGATGGTTAATCTCTCCGCGTCACGTTAACTTTAATGTTTACACGTTTTTCGCAATGTCTCAATTAGTACACATTCGCCCTTTCTTTTTGTAAAAATTTCACACCTTTTGTAAATTGGAAGTAGATGAAGGTAGTGAAAAAATCCTACATTTTTATTGTACCTGTGTATTAACCCCTCCATCACTCTGCCATCATTTGGTTTGATGCGTATATACTGCCCTTCCATATCGCGCCATGTCAGTAACAAAGGATTCAGAGCTTTGTAATCTGTTATCAAATAAGTACTAACTTACTTACGGCAAAAAAGTCTTTAAAAAACAAAGATCTGCAAAAAAGAAAAATTTGTAAGGTCCGCTGGTTCGTTTCGTAGCTTGGTTGTGAGAGGCACGGTAAGCTGAAGGCGCTGGTTCGAATCCAGCCGGATCGAAGTAATTTTTCTTAGTGTTCGATCTTTGTATTAATAATTCTAACAAACTAGTGGAATAATTTCACAAAAAATAATTGAATATCATGGTAGTAAAACATTGTGATATTTAACTTAATATTACAAATAATTACTTATTGTTATTTTATTCAGGTAGTAGATGTCCCTGGGTGGGCGTTAGGCTCGCTTCTTCGTGTTTCCCGCGCCATACTTCCCGAAGGTTGTATTCTAAACGTACACGAGCATACACCTGACCACGAAGAAATCCGATACGTACCCGACAACCAACTCATTGAACTCCAACAGCAACTTGAAGATATGGGAGGTAGTCGTGCTAGCGTAAAGAAGAAGAGAAAATAAAGCATGCCATGTAGTTTTGTATTTGATGATAATAGGGTGCACTTCAAGAAGAAAACTGCTCATCTAACTAGCTAGAAATTGACTGTTCATGAATAAAAATTAACTGTTAAGAGAGTCTAATCTAGTGTAAATAACAGCCAAAAATCTTTTTTCTATTATTAAATAACTCGTCTCATAAGACAACAAACCCGTATAATATTGGTCGCCGGATGGCGAAACTGAACTACATGCTAGTGAGGTAACTCTTCCAACTGACAAGAAATGGAACAAATGGATGGGTATGCTAAGCTAACTCTGTAGTGCGGAGGCCACGCTTGCGTCTATAGTCACGAATCCCAGGCCACACCGTGAACGAAGCTAGGTAACTTAGCTTAGCTCACGTAGTTGCATGCAACCAACTATGCCAGCTAAACTAAATTAACTCACGTAGTTTCATGCAAAGCTAGGCTAAGAAAATACGTAGTAAGTAGTGACTATGGTTTCGTGTGGGGGTGAAGGGCGGCAGAAGGGCGACATATAGTTTAGTGAGCTCGGTTAGCTTAATTTACGGTGTGAACCGAAGTATGAAAAGATGCCCCGGCTACTTGAGCTAAGCTAAGTTAGCTTAGTTTTGTTCGCGGTGTGGCCTGCGCATGCGTGCCATGCATATGTTTTTGCTCGCTAAAAAGTTATCACGGTAACGTGGTGGTCACGCTAAAGGCTTCGTAATTGTAAACGAATTATTGTGCAATAATACAAGATGTCCGCAATACAATTTCCAGACCAATTGACTGAGGACAACAACTTTCTCTACTACTACAAGTATGTTAGCAGTAAGTTTTTTATGCTGACATTCTTTGGAGCTAATATAAGGGGCTCAGCTTCAAAATTGTGTAAATACTCCGACACCAATTCTTCGTTCCACACCGTTAGGTATGTAGACAGACAGACGTCTAACCATTCCGAGAATAAGGGTCGAAATAAACAACGCTAGTCCGACTACGCTGCACGATGTTTAGCGGCTTTGGCGCGCTAAAACCCTATTGAAACCGTTACCCGAGCGATAACTTGGTATAGTTGACGAAATATTATTTGTACCGATTCGTCTTATCGCTTCAACTTTAGAGTACAATAGGACAAAAGCCTGAACCATCTTGGTAACGCACGTGCCACTTGCATAGTGCAAACAACTAGTTTAAACACTTTTACACATTGGCATTTAACTCTAAACTTGCTAATCTTTATGCGGAACACTAATTTTATTGAATTAGTAAGAAAAAGTTGGCTGTCGTTATTTTACGAAGTAAATAATTCAAAACTAGAATTCAGAAAAAGCATTAAGCGCACCCATGACTCATACGATGGACCAAGATCATTAAGTCCATGCACGCTTTGAGTAAAATAAGTGTTAATGGTTTTTTACTGTATTGTAATATAAAGGATAAGGCGTTCCAAGAGATAACATTCATCAGTGCGATTTATATTTCTTCAACTATACGCAGCCCGAAAATTCGCAAGTCGACGATAGCCATTAATGGTTGCTTATACCTGCGTGTATCGTATCATTGTGCGAAGCTTCGTGACGATGCAGACGCAAGTGCGGCTCCAGCATTAAAGGAAATTATTTAAGTAATCGCTGTACTTTTATTCCTTAATCGAACTTAATATTTTTTTCTTGTTGTTGATATAATATGTCACACTAATAAAATGTAGTTCATGGATTCGTCTTTGAAGTACATCCTAGTACCTACTTTGTAGTAATTTTTGTATTTATGTTATACAAAAATTCCCGCGCCTGGAACGCTTCCGCGGCGGAGTCATCTGTTAATTCAACTGAAATGTAGTGACGGTTTATTTACGTTTTTGAGTCAATTTGCATACTTACTCGCCTACAGCGACTTGATTGTTAAATGTATATAGATGAATAAAATTGTTTTATTAAAATGGTGATGTCATTAGTTTTATTATAAACAATTCCTAAATGTTGACTTGGAATTTTCCGAACGATTGGGCAATTGCAATCCTTCGTAATTTTATGCATTTATAATTCCAAATCCATAATATGGTAATTTATAAATAATAGCTGAATAAGTTTTATAAACGACGCGCAAATCGAATAATTTATGTTAGCAATAAATTTTAACTTGAGAACCATTCACTAATTTAAACAACAAAATAAATATAGCCATAAGATGAGTATTAGTTATTTATTTGTTGTTGTACCATGAAACAAAAGACTATCTAACTCTAACTTTTGCTGAGGTTAACAATAAGTACCAGTTTCTAAACTCTGACGATAAGTTTTATGAAAATACAAACGGAGTATATTTAATCCAAGTAACTCGTAAAAATGCAAGAAGCTAACTCCCACCGGATAACAATGACAACATAGTAAGTTATGTTCCAAGGTCAACTCCATCACCAATAATTTGCGTTTGCGGGAGGATCTGTTGCGCAAGCGCAACTGTAGCGCGATAATATCGAACCGCGGTCGGACAAAGCCAGGCAAGCGCAAACCGACAATCACCGCTGAAGGATATTTAGTTACTCTTCTTATTTACGTGTACAAGTATAATTATTTGGTAGAACGTCATCTTGCGTAATTTGTGAGAATTTTATCAAGTCATATAGCGGACACTACGCGTATGACCTTCACTCGCCTCTCTCAAGTAATTATTATTATTCTAACGTACACCGGTTAAGCGAGATACGTGGGTAATATTAGGTATTCATCAATATACCTATGTTTAATCGTAGCTGCATTATTTAAACGTGTATTTCGAAATTATTTTAAAGTAAAAATAAAGTTAAACTTTTAGTGTTTATGGGTGTAGTTTTTAGACAAATGACATCAAAATTATTTATTTTCATAATAATATTAGCAAAGTAGAGTAAAATACCTAGGTAGTTGCTGGTGGCAAGTTTAACTATTACCTAGCGTTACATTTTTATGCTTTGACCTAGCTATTATGTTGTACCAAAGATTACAAAAAACTAATTCATAATTATTAGGTTTTTGCTATAGTTAACATTAGTATTGAAACAATTTTTACGGATCTAAATATGTGAATACAGGAGTCTTCTATCCCACAAAATAAAAATAACACTAGATGCCGATATGAGGAAAACAATGTTTTTTCTTTGTAAGTCGCCGTGATAAGGAACATTAAAAACTTAAATCAAAAATACATTACAAAACAAAATTACAATTACATATGTATAAGGTCTGTCAGCAAAAAGATTTTCCAAAAAAATGGCGTATGTTTGTTTTTTCAAACAAATCAACGTTTCGGTCCCCTTTATTAGGTATCTTGGGCACAGCTGACGTGTGTGAAAATTTATTTTTTATTTATAAAGCATTTGCTTCAGAGCCATCAGCTTAAAGGTAACAAATAATCAAGAAACGCACAACGTAAACTAAAAATTAGTTCGTGTAAAAAATGTAACTATTAAAACCCGCCATTTTTTCATTAGTCACGTGTGTGCAAACAAATATACGCGACTTAAGGCTGTATTCCAGAACTTTGCTCAATGCTCAAGTCATGACTTGAGTATGATTCCAAGCACTGGAAATACGACCCTAATCGAAAAGACTTGAGTGTGATTTCTAGTGCTTTAAATCATACTCAAGTCAAGATTGCACTGGAAACACAAGCACTGGAAATACGACCCTAATGGCAGGGACTTGAGTATTTTTTTATTTATTTTTTTTTTTTTTTATGACATTAAGTAACGGGACGAACAAGTCGTGTGCCTGATGGTAAGCTACACGCCTGCCCATAACAGTTGCAGTGCCACCAAGAGCTTTAAATTACAAAGATCTTGGGGGCACTGCCACTGCGCCCGTCACCCTGAGACATAAGTTGACAAGTCTCATGTGCCTGTAATTTCACCAGCACCCTTACCCTTCACAACCGGAACACAGTAATGTGACCATTACTGCTTGGCGGCAGAAATAGGTAAGGTGGCAGTACTTCCCTGGACGAGCTCTTTCACAAGGAGCTCTACTGCTACTAAATAATAAATATATATCATAATAAAGTATGATTTCAAGTGCTTTGAATCATACACAAATCCTAACTTGAGCATTGAGTAGATTTCTGGAATACGACTCTCAGGGTCGTATTCTAGAACTCTACTCAATGCTCAAGTCAGGATTGCACTGGCAACACAAGCACTGGAAATAAGACCCTAATGGCAGGGACTTAACTATGATTTCGAGTGCTTTAAACCATACTCAAGTCCTGATTTGAGCATAGAGTAGAGTTCTGGAATATGACCCTTAGAGTCGCATTCCAGAACAGGACTTGTGTATGATTTCAAGCACTGGAAATACGACCTTAATGGCAAGGGTTTGAGTATGATTTCTAGTGGTTTAAATCATACTGAAGTCGTGACTTGAGTATTGAGTAGCGTTCTGGAATACGACCCTTAGATTCGATTTCTAATTCATAATTATTATTATCTAATCGATGAGCGTGGTGTACAAATTTAGAATTTTGACTGTACACAAATATTGCGAAAAATATTGTTGTGTTAATATTCAGTGACGGTCTCAGGTGCGCACCGTTTCCTTTTGTATCTCGGAGATCTAATCAAGTTAATCTGTATCTAACACTTATTGTTCAGCTATTTATTACTAAACTTATTTGCCATCAAGCATGGCAATCGAATTTGAGTTCGTGCAATGCCGGTAATATTATACCGGCTACCATTAAACAGCTATTTGATATGTAAATGATCGCAGAATTGCAACATTCTAGGATTGTTTAAAGCGGCATTTTTAATTAAATTATTGTAGTAGAAGACAATTATTTCTCGAAACAGAATACATACAAACACTCGCTTACAATGAGAAATACTAGATAAAAACGCTTACAAAAATGAATGAGGATCGGTACATAGTTTATCCAATATACATATTATATATTTACACCAGGGTTTGGTAACATATCCAGATATAAACAAATTAGCCACACTATCCCCTTAGTTTAGTTTTATAATTATGTATTGTAATAATTATGCTAAGTAGATAAAGGTCAAGGAGTTTTTTTTTTGAATGCATGTAGTCAAGGAATTATTAATTAATAAAATTAATTATTAGTAGGTAGGTATATACAGGGACTATGCGGAGAGTTCATATTCAGAAAGCCAAGGAAGAGCTTACATAACTTATGGAATGTTAAAGGTGGAGTTGATGATAGCCTATTTCGGCACATAAAACACACAATATGTAAGTATATATAATATAGTAAGGGCGTAGCGCTGAAGCGCAGGGTTCAATCCTAAAAAATACGTTACTTAAACTGTCGCGCAAGTAATAAAACAACACCTTTGATTTATGTAATTTGCTTTCGTAACATTAATTATAAATTATATTTATGAACTACAAAATTATCTTTAGAAGTGAAGTAATTAATGTTTGAAAATAGGTTTATGTCTTCAAATAAAGCTCTCAATTCACGAATAGCTTATTGCGCAATCACGACTTTGTTCGGTTTACTTAAGGTACGTACTTAATTAAGAAACTGATTTTAATTTGAGTCAAAGTATTCACCTCTTTGTTTTACTGTTATCAATGAATAAGCATTGATAACAGTAAAACAAAGAGGTGAATATTCAAGGACTGTGTAACAATAAAGCAAAAATAATAAGGTGTTTCTAGTCCGAATGGTTCCCGCGGTTGTGAAACATTATGAACTGGCCATCACATTTGGGTACGCCGCGAAAGGCACGTGAGCGAAATAAAGTCTGCGTTAGAGATCGGATCTAAATACATATGTGTAATTTTTTAAGCCGTTTACTTACAGTTCTACTTTACACATTTTTATTAGGTACTTTATTACTTAGCTACTAGACTTCCGAGAGCCACGGAAGAAAAGTTGCTGCAAAGAAATCGGCAGGAACATTTTATAAATTGATCTCTACTGGCCATAAAGCAGCAGCAGGTGTATTACCATAAATTGTTTTTTTTTTATCCCACCGCCTTTAGTCACGCATAATTATTTTTAGTTATGTATAAAAGTGACGTATTATAGTATTTTATTAAATAAATGTATTTAAAAAAATATAATAATATTAACGCACACACTCAACATAGCCCCTCACTAGGGAAATCCTGTGTTGCGGGTGCCATGGACACACACAAAGACAATTACAAATTACACCCAAACTCACGAGAGCAATCAATGTAGGCCATACAAATATTTCTCCTGGCCCGGGAATCGAACCTGGGACCTCTGCGTGGCAGTCCGGCATGGTAACCGTTATTAGGCACTTATTAAATGTCGCAGTTTGTATTTTTATTTGTACTTAATTGAAATGAATGACGCTGCATTGGAAATAGAATCCTCTATGTGTCTATCCTCGGTGGCTCAGCGGTTTGCACTGTGGGCGCGGGATGAGGAGATCCCGGGTTCGATTCCCGGTAGAATGGTAGAAATGAAATTTTCTAAATTGGTTCCAGATGGAGTATTCTGAGAAGTGCCCCAGAGTGAATTCCGTTGCTCTGGTACTCATAGTACTCCCTAGTTTGAGACTAGGCAATTGGTGTGGATACAGGACATATTATTATTATTATTATTATTATTATTATTATTATTATAGAGGTCTGCCGATTTCAAGAAATCCATTGAAAGTATACGCAGGTACCTTAAAATAA